CAGTATATATATGTACACACACACACATATATACAGTATATATATGTGTGTGTGTGGGGGGGGGTTAGTTAGATTCACATGTTTGTAGAACTGAGAGAGAATGAGGAACGATAATAAAACATATATCCTCCTCCTCCTCCTCCCCCTCCTCTTTCTTCTCCTCTCCCTCCTCCTCCTCCTCTTTCTCTTCCTTCTCCTCCTCTCCCTCCTCCTCCTCCTCCTCTTTCTTTTCCTCCTCTTTCTCTTCCTTCTCCTCCTCCTCTTCCTTCTCCTCTTCCTCTTCCTCTTCCTTCTCCTCCTCCTTCTCCTCCTCCTCCTCCTCCTCCTCCTCTTTCTCTTCCTCCTCCTCTTCCTCCTCTCCCTCCTCCTCCTCCCCCTCCTCTTTCTCTTCCTTCTCTTCCTTCTCCTCCTCCTCTTCCCCCTCCTCCTCTTCCTTCTCCTCCTCCTCTCCCTCCTCTTCTTTCTCTTCCTTCTCCTCCTCCTCTTCCTCCTCCTCTTCCTTCTCTCCCTCCTCTTCATTCTCCTCCTCCCCCTACTTCTTTCTGTTACTTCTCCTCTTCCTCCTCCTCTTCCTCCTCCTCCTCCTCTTTCTCTTCCTTCTCCTCTTCCTCCTCCTCCTCCTCTCCCTCCTCCTCCTTCCTCTTCCTTCTCCTCCTCCTCCTCTCCCTTCTCCTCTTCCTCTTCCTTCTCGTCTTCCTCTTCGATCTCCCCTTCCTCCTCCTCCTCCCCCTCCTCTTCCTCTTCCTTCTCCTCCTTCTCTTCCTTCTCCTCTTCCTTCTCCTCCTCCTCTCCCTCCTCCTCCTCCCCCCTCCTCCTCTTCCTCTTGCTCTTCCTTCTGCTCCTCCTCTTCCTCTTCCTTCTCCTCCTCCTCTCCCTCCTCCTCCTCTTCCTTCTCCTCCCCCCTCCTCCTCCTCCTCCTCTTCCTTCTCCTCCTCCTCTTCCTCCTCTCCCTCTTCCTTCTCCTCTTCCTCCTCTCCCTCCTCTTCCTCTTCCTCTTCCTCCTCCTCCCCTCAGCCTGCCTGTCAGTCAGCGTATGATGGAGATGTGCACCTCCTCTATAAGCTCCTCCACCATGACTCCTCCCACCTGAACGTTCATGACCGTCAAAACGGGGACACGCCTCTCATCGCGGCCTGTCGCCACGGTAACCTGAGGGCGGTCCGGTACCTGCTGGACAACGGGGCCGACGTCCAGCTGACCAATGAGGTGAGCCCACGATGACGTCATCGATGAGGTCATGGTGTGGGCGTGTCTGAACTAACGTGTCTCTTGTTTCAGAAACAGAGGACGTGTCTTCACTATGTGTCCAAGAGGAGCTTCTCTCTGATGGACTACCTCATGATCACACTCCTCATGCCCATCATGCTGCTGGGGTACTTCCTCCTGGTACACTAATATAGATATATAATATATATGTATATATATACATACATACATTATATATTTATATATATAATGTATGTATTTATATATATAATATATATACATACATATTTATATATATATGTATGTATATATACATATATATTTATATAGTCCTGTTCAGTGGTAAACCTGCTGCTGCTAAGCTAACTGTTGTGTTTACTCATTAAACAGTTAGCTTAGCTCGGCGGCTAATCCACAGTTTATCAACACAGCTGTGATGACATCGTGTGTGTGTGTGTGTGTGTGTGTGTGTGTGTGTGTGTGTGTTAGCTACAGAAACAGAGGCAGAGCGTGTCTCTGATGAAGGCGGTGCTGAGCAGCAACGTCAACGTCGATGCTGTCGACTATGTGAGTAAGAACATCTGTTCAAACTGTTAGCCTGGTGCTAACAGACTTAGCCTGGTGCCAACGTACGTGTTTACTGAGTTTAATCATATTATCAATATATTTTTATATCTGTTTATGTTTTATGTTGTACACGTTATACGTTCATATATTATATAGATTTAATATTATATATATATATATATATATATATATATGTTGTGTTCAGAAGGGAAACACAGCTCTTCACTACGTCTGTCAGATGAAAAGTCACCGTCTGGTTCCTCTGCTGCTGAAAAGAAACGCTGACACAAACGTCCAAAATAACGTACGTCCACAAACGCACCACGACTCAAATCAGCTGCTCGATATGACATCATGTCTGACCTTCTTCTTCTTCTTCAGGATGGAGAAACACCGCTGGATATCGCCACCAGACTAAAGTTCAAGAAGATCGTCCACATGCTGAAGAAGACACAGTGAGAGACAGACAGACAGAAAGACAGGAGGACAGACAGACAGGAGGACAGACAGACAGGAGGACGGACAGACAGGAGGATTGGAAGACAGCGAAAATGTGCAGAAAGATTTCAGAATATAAATAAATAATTTAAGAAGAGAAACAGCATTTATGATGGAGAACAAATGCTTTTATTTTGAAGGCTCCTGAATGACAAAAAATTGTTTTTAAGACATCGCGCTCTGGTTGTTAAAATGTTTATTAAACAACAACGTTAGCCTAGCTTAGCACAAAGACTGTCTTTAAGATGAAACATAAAAGATGAATAAAGATGAGTGGGAACAATCTGAACATGTTTGTAGATAAGAATCATCTGATACATTACAAATTCAGCTTTTTATTTCAAAATAAACTTCATCAATAAAATCTGTGATTGTGTTTATGAGTTTACGATCTGGTTCATATTTAGCAGAAATAAAAGTAAAGTATTTTAACCTCTAAATAAAAGTTTAGCTCCACCCACCACAATTCAAGCCTCATGATTGGATGCTGCTGCCCCTCCCACATTGATAGACAGGTCTTTTACTTGATGAACACCAAACAAATCTATTTATTTTAAAATGTGATCAACATTTGGTGATGCTAACGTTAGCATCTTATAGCCACAATGCTAACGAAGCTAAAAACAACGAATACAAAGTTCAGCTCTCAGCAGATTCACTGAGCTTCTTCACATGTTTATGTGAGGAGGATTTTCAAAATAAGAGTTAAGTTGAAGAAAACCAATCTAGACTGGTTTGTTTGAAGTAGAAAGTTCTGGTCACATTAAAAATAAAACAATCAACAAACAGGAAGTGTTCAGGTGTGTTACAGATTACAGTGATGACATTGGTGTGTATGAGGAGTTTGAATCCACACTGACTATATTCGAGTTTAACACACACACACACACACACACACACAGATAGACACACACACAGACCGATAGAGACACACACACACACACACAGACACTCTACTTATATTCCTGCAGCAGCTTCAGGATGGAGGGAAACATCTGTTCAGGAGCATCAAGACCCCAAATAAAGTCCAGATGATCCCAATGTTCAATGTTCTGATGGAAGACCAGGTTAGACACCTGAGAGACAGAGAGAGAGAGAGAGAGAGAGAGAGAGAGAGAGAGAGAGAGAGAGACAGGTTGATGAATACATACCTGCAAACTTGTCACTTTTCGGTGAAATTCACCGTTTTGAATCAAAAATATGTCATCCACGTGTAGATCCGTAGAGTTTTTTTTAGTTTTTTTTTGTTGGGGAGGGGGGGGGGGTCAACCGGCGGGCCAGTGTTTCTCAGATTGGAGTCAGACGAGCAGAAAAGGTGATGTTGTGATCTTCACAATAGAACATCTTTGACGTGTCGAGTCTTGGCCAATCAGCGTTCAGATGTCTACAGCATCTTCATTTCACTCCATTAAAGTTTAAGTTACGTTATGTTCCGTTACCGTTCACACTTGCTGGGTTAAGTTAACGTCCACAGCATGCAAAACTTTATGGACTGTTAACGTTCGTCATTATCGCGATTTAGGAGGAAAAAACGTAACGTGATGAAACATGCAGCCCCCCCGTGTTCCGGCTCAGTTCACGCGGTCACTCATTAACGTTAAAATAAAATTCTTGGCACGCCCCCCCCCCCCCATCAACAGGGTTTCGGGCTTGTCACCTTTTTCACCTGTCATGAGTTTGCAGGTATGTGAATAAATGACTTGACTTTCTTCATTGTGACGGTAAAGAACCTCGTTAACCTCGTTGAGGACTGACCTGAGTGAGGAGGACCGCCACGTCTTTGGGGTCTGCCAGCGTATCATGTCCCCCTGAGAACAGAGCGGTGGGAACCTTCATGTCCTGGACCCGGTACTCAGGGGGAGTGGACTGATGTGGGACAGACGGAGACATGAGACATAAAGTAAAGTAAACAGACACCTGAGTACTCTGATCCAGGTAGAGTCTGACCTGGTTGTAGTGCTTCATGTTTCCTGCAGCTCCAAAGTCAAAAGCACTCAGCTTCCCTCCATCAACCGCCTGAAAACAAGTTTAGGGTCCAGACAACGCATGATGTCAACGATGGTCCCCATAAGCACACATAGACAGAATTGTGTGTGTGTGTGTATGTGTTACCTGGGCCCAGTGGACCATGTTCTGGACTGAGGTCCCAGCAGGACAGTGTTCAGTGTAGACTGGGATCCGAGTCTGGAAACAAAGGACTCAGTCAGGCTGAAGATAATTCAAAGATCCTTCATATCAATAATCAATAATCAATGATCTGAAAACATGTTATCAATAACGAACCTTGTTGAGGTTTTTCTCATCGAATCCACAAAGGATGAAGAAAAGGTTTCCACACAACTCACTGAGCAGCTGCTTCGCACACACATGTTCCGCAAACCACTCGATCATGTGACTCTGAGGCAGGAAGCCCCGCCTACCAAACAGGTCCTGACAGAGATCAAATTCCAATCAGTCAGTCAGTCAGTCAGTCAATAAATTAACCCGTCAGCGTCATTAATAAAAATAAATCAGGTCATGTGATAATAACTTGTAAACAGGTCATGTGATTAAAGCTTGTTAACAGGTCATGTGATAATAGCTCGTTAACAGGTCATGTGATTAAAGCTCGTTAACAGGTCATGTGATTAAAGCTCATTAACAGGTCATGTGATAATAGCTTGTTAACAGGTCATGTGATAATAGCTTGTTAACAGGTCATGTGATAACAGCTTGTTAACAGGTCATGTGATTAAAGCTCGTTAGCAGGTCATGTGATAATCGCTCGTAAACAGGTCATGTGATGATAGCTTGTTAACAGGTCATGTGATGATAGCTCGTTAGCAGGTCATGTGATTGAAGCTCGTTAACAGGTCATGTGATAATCGCTCGTAAACAGGTCATGTGATAATCGCTCGTAAACAGGTCATGTGATAATCGCTCGTAAACAGGTCATGTGATAATAGCTCGTTAGCAGGTCATGTGATAATAGTTCGTTAACAGGTCATGTGATTAAAGCTCGTTAACAGGTCATGTGACAACAGCTCGTTAACAGGTCATGTGACAATAGCTCATTAACAGGTCATGTGATTAAAGCTCGTTAACAGGTCATGTGATTAAAGCTTGTTGACAGGGCATGTGACAATAGCTCGTTAGAAGGTCATGTGACAATAGTTCGTTAACAGGTCATGTGATGATAGCTCGTTAGCAGGTCATGTGATGATAGCTCGTTAGCAGGTCATGTGATCATCGCTCGTTAACAGGTCATGGGATTAAAGCTCGTTAGCAGGGCATGTGATAATAACTCGTTACCCAGATAAGGAAGTCGGGCAGCACAGATAGTTTGGTTATGGCGCTGGTGGTGAAGCTAACGGTCGCTACAGGAGCCAAACCGATGAACAACTTGATCTTACTGGCCAGTTCCGGCAGCGTGGAGAGCGCTATGAATGCTGGGGAAAAAAGCCAGAGAGTTAAATTAATATTAGTCTTTTTTTGTTTGTGTGCGTGTGTGTGTGTGTGTGTGTGTGTGTGTGTGTTACCTATGGTGGTTCCCTGAGAGTGTCCGATGTAGTAGATCTGGTCTTGACTCGTCACCTTCAGGATGTGGTTTACAGCAGCTGGTAGATCCTTCAGAGCCATCTCATCATAACTACACACACAATATATTATCCATATATATAATATAATAATACTTACACATAAACATCTGATCTTATAAACAGCTGACGTTACACAGGTGTTTGTACCTGAACCTCCAGAAGTCCTCCTGGTCCGGTCTGAGGGTCCGGTGCTTCCTGGACCAAGTGTTTCCTCGACTGTTTCCGATCCAGACGTCGTAGCCGGCGTCGGCGAGCACGAAGCCCAGACTGGAGTTTGGAAGGTTGGTGATCCAGTTGCTGCCTGCAGCCAGTAGACCGTGCTGGAGGAAGACCACCGGCCTCGGACCTCCAGACCCTCTAGACCCTTTAGACCCGCCACAGTAAAGGTTCAGTATGGGTTGTCAGAGGAGGACGCGTCCTCACAGAGACAGAAGACTAAAGACTCACCTGCTGAGTGTTTGAGTCCGTGTGGGATCCTGTTGACGGTCAGGATGTAGTCGTCCTCTGTCAGAACCTCGTATTCCTCTGCAGGGTAACCCCAATAACGGATGATCTCCGTCTGCACACACACACACACACACACACACACACAATATTCTGCTGGTAGTTTAATCTTTAATATTACTTCATTTATTAATTGATTAATAATCTGAATCTGTGTCGAAAGCTTTCAGATAAAAGTACAATAAGTACTCTGACATGGAGTAGAGGAGGAGTATAAAATACTCAGGTAAAGTACAAGTACACAACTTTAGTAAACGCAGTAAAACACAGCGAAGCACCAACGAAGAAGAGCGTCGTTTTATTCTTCGTTTGTTCACAGGGTACTTGAACTGTTTGTACTCACGATGTTCATGTGAACTTCAGGGTCCAGGTTCTGGTGTAGTTCATCAGAGCTCCTCAGGACAGACGGTCCGCTGTGGACAAGACCGGAGAGACCCAACACACACACACACACCACTACACACAGCATGGTCTGTCTCACACACACACAGGGTTCATTATTGGAGACTTTATGATGCTGTAACTTCCCGCCCACTGAATCATGACTCAGCCGTTCTCCGGCTTCGGTCACATGGCTGATAACAATTTAAATGTAAAAGGGAAGTGACATCATCGGTCACATGCTGCTGAAACTCGAGCACGATGAACTCTGTCAGTCGACTTTCAGTCAGAACTCCTTTGAGAAAAGTTCACAGGAACGACAGCGTCTCTACTGACCTTCAGGGACTCTGCTCTGTGCTCAGTCACAACTCACAGCTACACTCACAACTCGACTGGCTCAACTCTGATCTCTAAATCTGACTTAAACACAATCAAACTGTAGCTTTGTATTTGCTGTCTGATCCTCAACCCTGTTTGTTAAATCAGAGGTGAGATGGAAACCTTTGTTTTTTATGAAAGAAGTTTTGTTTTTTGCTTAAATGTGTTTTGAATAGAAGTCTCCTCTTTCTCCATCTCTTCACTCTTTCCTACAGTGTACAATGAAAAGCAGTGATCGTTCTCATGGAGTTTGTTGTGTTACGAGGTGAAGTTTAAAGCCGACTCGTTCACAAACGGTTTGTCTGCTGGACTTTGATCAGCTGGTATCAGCTCCGTGTGCTCCGTTTGTTCAGTGAGGTCTTCAGCTCAGCTGATTCTCTCTGAAGCTGCTCAACTTAAACATTTGTTTGGTAAATCGGGTGCAGCAGCTGTTCCAGATGCTGTGATGCAGAAACCCCTCTGGATGTAATGTGTGAATGTGAAGCTGTGACGAAGTGATGAAGTGATGAAGATCATGTGAGAATGAAAGGAGACTCTGTTTGTGTGAACATGGAGGAGTTAATGATGCAAAACGTGAAAATCAATTCAGATCACTTGACTGGTTTTGGTGATGTCACACCTGATGACCTCACACATAATAATAAACTGATGATGTAATAAACTGATATTATAATAAATTGATGTTATTATAAACTGATGTTGTAATAAACTGTAGTTATAATAAACTGATGTTGTAATGAACAGATTTTACTCTGTAATAACCTGTTATAATGAACAGATTTTACTCTGTAATAACCTGTTATAATAAACAGATTTTATTATGTAATAACCTGTTATAATAAACAGATTTTATTATGTAATAACCTGTTATAATAAACAGATTTTACTCTGTAATAACCTGTTATAATGAACAGATTTTACTCTGTAATAACCTGTTATAATAAACAGATTTTACTCTGTAATAACCTGTTATAATAAACAGATTTTATTATGTAATAACCTGTTATAACAAACAGATTTTACTCTGTAATAACCTGTTATAATAAACATTTTACTCTGTAATAACCTGTTATAACAAACAGATTTTACTCTGTAACAACCTGTTATAATAAATTGATTTTACTCTGTAATAACCTGTTATAATAAACTGATTTTATGATGTTACTTCCAGTTTTTTGTCGGATTTTCAGAGCTATTTTCGCTAAAAACATTAATAACTGTTTAATTTAAAATAAAAACATGAAGTGAATCTTCAGTTCACATTAACAGAGTTCACTGCGACATAATAACACGTTAATAACACATTAATGAAGGACTGATCACTCACTGGTCTGCAGCTCTCTGATGATCTTTAAACTTTATGATCAGCTGTGTTGCTTTTTTCTTTGGTGGAAGAGAACGGCGGTGACGTCAGAGGGCGTACCTCTATGTGATTGGTCGAATAAAGGACCGAGTTATCATTACCTGTTTGTTCTCTGATCGGATCAAAGTGTTCTCTGCTCGACTTTAACTCTGTGAACGAATCAACTCAAACCGGAAACAGATAATAACAGAGACCGGAAACAGAAACCTGGAGAGACCGGAAACGATGGGGAGGAAAAAACAAGCTGCAGATATCAGCGGATTTGGTCTAAAAACTTAAACTTCAAAAAGTAAATAAAGAATTGAAAACACAACAATATAACAAAGTTCTGCATAAACTGAATACAAACGCACACGTTTTCTTATTTTCAGGATTCAAGTCAAGTTTCATCTCGAGTCAGACTCACCTTCAGAATAAAAGCAACTGTCACAGGATTAAACATTTAAATTCTAAACTGAAATCAAAACATATATACTCAATATTTTTGAGTGAAAGTACGAAGTACGACCTCAAGTGAAGCTTCCGTATAATGAACACATATTTCATTACGTTCATCTTTTGTAAAACAGTTTCTTCTTAACTTATTTGGAGGCGGAAATACATTTATTATGAAAATATCAGTCGGAAGTCCGGTGTTTATTCCGGTTAGCTTTACTTCCGTGTGAACCGGGATAGTTTTTGTTGGTCCGTCGTTTCATAACGAAGGGGGCGTGTCTAACTTCTGCTGCTCTGGACCCAAAGACAAACCGGACTGGACCCGTTACAACTCGGTTTATAGTCCCGTGCTAGAGTTAGTCCGGCTCTGTGCTAAAAAATGTCCCGGGTTCTGATCGTGGGAGCGGGGCTGACAGGCAGCTTGTGCGCATGTCTGCTGAAGAGAGAGATGCAGAGTAAAGTTCAGATAGTGGTGTGGGACAAAGCGAGAGGTTCCGGTGAGTTCATAAATATCACGATTTAACTATCCCGGTTAACGGCCGCACCGCGTCACACCGGAGCACGTGACTGAACACGGGTTCGGTATCAACAGGTTCCGGTTTTTAATTTGGCTTCTAAACGATCCACATTTAAATTTAAGAGATCAGAGATGAGAGCGACAACGTCGGTTCTACGTTCTATGTTCTATGTCTTGTAGCTGCATTCAGAAATCTTATATTTAATCTTCCAGAGACTCAGTTACACTGAAACACAAAGTCAAAGACTCTGATCTATAAAGTTCAGGTAATCTATATAGTTCAGTTAACTGTCTGTCTGTCTGTCTCTCTCTCTCTCTCTCAGGCGGCAGGATGTCCACCAGTCGTCCTCCAGACTCTTCGTCTCACTCAGCTGATCTTGGAGCTCAGTACATCACAGCCACGTCTTCCTACGCTCAGTCTCACCACAGGTACCACACTCACCTTTACAGCTCTATGTTCACTTTATATGTTCACAATCAATCAGGCTGCTGTCTGCAGGTGTAACCCAGAGCTCCTGGCTGCAGGCTTAACCCAGAGCTGCTGTCTGCAGGCTTAACCCAGAGCTCCTGGCTGCAGGCTTAACCCAGAGCTGCTGTCTGCAGGTGTAACCCAGAGCTCCTGGCTGCAGGCTTAACCCAGAGCTGCTGTCTGCAGGTTTAACCCAGAGCTGCTGTCTGCATGTTTAACCCAGAGCTGCTGGCTGCAGGTTTAACCCAGAGCTGCTGGCTGCAGGTTTAACCCAGAGCTGCTGGCTGCAGGTTTAACCCAGAGCTGCTGTCTGCAGGTTTTACTCAGAGCTGCTGTCTGCAGGTGTCCTTCAGCCTCTCGACTCTCTGGTTGAAGGACTGAAGCACAAAGACGGCAACAAGGACTACATGACGCCACTGGGCATGTGCAGTGTGGTCAAACACTTCCTGTCCGAGTCAGGTACATACCTACATGTGTTGTCTGTCTTAGTGTCCGTCTGTCTCTCCGTCTGTCTCTCTGACCGACTCTCTGTCTATCTTTGCTGACCGTCTGTCAGGAGCCGATTTGTTCTTCGAGCACCATGTGACCGGTTTGTACCGCCGGGGTGCATCATGGGAGGTCCAGAGGAAGGCGGGAGGCAGCGAGATGTTTGATGCCATCGTCCTGACGATGCCGGCTCCTCAGATCCTGCAGCTGCAGGGAGACGTTGGACACAGTGAGACACATTTGTTCTTCTACGTCTCTGTGAGGCAACGTGTGCTCAGTAGAGATGAAACATCATGTTGTGGAGAAGATGATGTAAGAGGTCAAAGTGTTTGTTTTGGAAGAGGGAAACAAAACGCCGGCCTCGAGTCACTACAATACTCGTTAAGACCTCGATAAGTCCAAGGAGAACCTGGAAGCAGATAAAAACCGGAGAGAAACTGGATGTAAAGAAAGCTCAAAGCACAACAAACCTTTACAACCTCTCACACTCAAACATGTAACAGACGACATCAGTTTAGTCCCTGAGGGTTCAGGTCTTCAGGGTTCAGGCTTTAGGGTTCAGGGCTGCTGGCTTTAGGGTTCAGGTTTTAGGGTTCAGGTCTGCAGGGTTTAGGGTTCAGGTCTGCAGGCTTCAGGTCTTCAGGCTTTAGGGTTCAGGTTTTAGGGTTCAGGTATGCAGGCTTTAGGGCTCAGGTCTGCAGGCTTTAGGGTTCAGGTATGCAGGCTTTAGGGCTCGGGTCTGCAGGCTTTAGGGCTCGGGTCTGCAGGCTTTAGGGCTCGGGTCTGCAGGCTTTAGGGTTCAGGTATGCAGGCTTTAGGGTTCAGGTATGCAGGCTTTAGGGTTCAGGTCTGCAGGCTTTAGGGTTCAGGTCTGCAGGCTTTAGGGGGACTCTGGTTCTGGTCCTGTGAAGAAATCTAAACATTTGTTTGTCACTTTATTGAAGATTATTTTGAATCTTTGGGGCACTTTCAGTGTTATTTCATCATTTCCTGTTAGTACAAAGCAGATGTTCTTGTACAATAACTGCAGTACAAGTACATTATTAGTACTACATTATAAGTAGTTAGTACACACTGAACTGTAGTGATGCTGTTCGACCACATGAGGGCAGCAGCTGCTCTGAGGATGAAACAGATAGAAACGTTATTCATCTACAGGGGGACTTAGTTTGTAGCAGCAGCAAGTTAGAGTAAAATAAAATATAAAATATGACATATGGAAATGCACAATATATACAGAACAATAAAATAACAGAGCAGATATTCAATTTGAATAAATAGAATAATAAAAAATGCACAGTATATACAATGAATAGAGTGGTATTAAATTAACAACTAGGTAAACTAAACAAACTAAACAGCAGAGCAAGGATCACCAACAACAAGCAGCAACCGTGTAGCGGTGTGTAGTCATGTGAAGGACGATCTGTCCAGAGGTGATTTATTATAAAGTCTTACTGCAGGAATGTTCTCCTGTATCCGTCCTGTGACAGCGGAGCTGGATGAGTCTGTTGGAGAAAGTGCTCCTCTGTCCCTGCAGTAGGTGGTGGAGAGGGTGGTCCGGGCTATCCAATATGGACAATAGTTTCTTCAGTGTTCTTCAGTGTTCTGCTCTCCACCACCTCTACCAGTCTTGTTTGCAGCCAATGATGGAGCCGGCCTTCTTAACTAGTTTGTTAAGTCTGTTGGTGTCTCCGGCTCCAATGCTGCTCCCCCAGCAGACTACAGAAGTAAAGTGCACTGACCACAACAGACTGGTAGAACATCTCCAACATCTTGCTGCACACGTTGAAGGATCGAAGTTTCCTCAAGAAAAAGAGTCGACTCATCCCCTTCTTGTACACAGCGTTGATGTTGGTCTTCCAGTTCAGTCTGCTGTCGATGGAGACACCCAGGAACTTGTACTCCTCCACCATGTCCACATCCTCTCCCTGAACTCTCAGCGGTTGTGGAGTCGTCGTCTTCCTCCTGAAGTCGACCACCATCTCTCTGGTCTTGGCCACGTTCAGACGCAGGTGATTTCTACCGGCCCACTCTACAAAGTCCTCCACTACTGCCCTGTACTCCTCCCATCCGTCCCTTATACACCCGACCACTGCAGAGTCATCAGAGAACTTCTGCAGATGGCATGACCCTGAGTTGTACTGGAAGTCAGTGGTGTACAAGGTGAACAGGAAGGGAGACAGAACAGTTCCCTGTGGGGCTCCAGCATCACTGACCACCGTATCAGACAGCACACGGCCCAGTCGGACAAACTGTGGTCTGCCTGTGAGGTAGTCAGTGATGCAGGAGACGGTGGATGCGTTAACCCCCACCACCCGCAGCTTCTCCCTCAGCAGCACTGGTTGGATGGTGTTGAATACACTGAAGTCAAAGAAAGTGATTCTCACAGAGCCACCGGTTTATCCAGGTGCGACTGAGCTCGTTGCAGCAGGTAGACGATGGCGTCGTCCACCCCCACATGAGGCTGGTATGCAAATCCAGCTGCTGTGATGTCACAATGACTTATAAACCCCGATACTGATTTATTGTGATTAGTTATTGATTATGTTGATCACTGATATTAATGTGAGCGAGTTATTGATCATGTAAACTATGTTAAATAGTGAAATGTAAGTTTCTATAAAGTTATTCAGTGTTAGACAGAAAACCTCCTAAACCAGAACAGCAGGACTGCCCCCACACACACACACACACACACACACACACACACACACACACACACACACACACACACACACACACACACACACACACACACTCTCTGATTGGTCGATGGTTAACACTTCTTAAAAGCTGCAGAACTTTCTTGATTGTGTGTGGGGGGGGCGGGCTGCAGAAAAGGCCCCTCGTGTGCCTATAGATGATGATGGTGATGTCATCTTCGGCTCTTATGATTGGCTGACAGGGGACAGCGCCCATTTTCTCCCTGCTGACACACACAGAGAAGTGCACACTCACACTCAGTGTATTATTAGACGCCGTGTGTGTGTGTGTGTGTGTGTGTGTGTGCGCACGTGTGTGCGTGCAGTAAAAAGCTGCAGACTTCTTCAGGGATGTGAATCATGAAAAGTGTACTTTTAGAGTTTGAACATGAATCAAACTGAGATGACATTAAACTGTCTGGTCCAATCAGATTTAACTATTATAACATATTGATGTAAAACTGCAAAGTCATATACATGTGTACAACGTTAACTAGCTACGATACGTTAACTAGCTACGATACAACATTAACCAGCTATGATAGTTTCCAGCTAAGATACATTAACCTCACGAGAGACCATGTTTACTTTTGAGTTTGAGTCCGAGATTATAAGAAGCTCAGTCAGGATCTTACAAATGTACTGAACTAACTGCCTGTCTGTCTCTCAGTGCTGTCTGTCCATCAGAAGCAGCAGTTAGAGGGAGTCGAGTACTCGTCTCGTTTTGCCGTCGCTCTCTTCTTCCCTCCAGACGTCGTCTTCACTTTTCCCTGGGCGGCTCGATACATCACTGACAACCCGTGTGTCCGCTATATCGCTGCAGACTCTCGCAAACGCAACGCAGGTCTGTCTGCTCACCTGTCTGTCTCTTCATCCTCTTGTCTTATGCTGGCCCAACAATAGAGCATAATTGGGCAGATTTTGAATAAGATTTACCCCTCCTGACGAGGAGAGTCTAACACCTCACCCGCGTGACATCGCTGTCTAACCCCCTCACCTGTGTGACATCATTGTCCGTGTCCCTTCAGACGGTCCTGGTCGCGGTCCGTCCCTCATCGTCCACACCAGCGTCCCGTTCGGCCTGAAGCACCTGGAGCGAGACAAGGAGGACGTCCAGCCAATCATCTTACAGGAACTCAACAAGCTACTTCCTGGTCTGCCTCAGCCAATCAGCATCAAGTGTCAGAAGTGGAGATACTCCCAGGTGAGCTTGTGAACGGTGACAAATCCCACTGACCCTGAACTCCCCCCCCCCCCAGGTGCGTTTGATTAACCCCGTCCCTCCTACAGGTGCTGACCTCGGTGCCAGACTGTCCGGGTCACATGACCGTCCTCCATCAACCGCCGCTCGTCTGCGCCGGCGACTCCTTCGTCCACTCCAACTTTGACGGCTGTGTGGAGTCAGCTCTGAGCGCGCTCAGTGTGCTGAAGGCCTCGCTGTGACAGGAAGTGACTCGGACTGTGACACACGGATCAATAATCAATACAAGTCATCAGTTCAATAGTTAATGTATGAAGAACTGATTTATTACATTAATACATATTGTTCTTTCAGAAATTGATTTTGTCTTTATGTGAATAAATGTGTTTGAAGTTTAATTATTTTGTGTCCTAAAAAATCTGATTTTTAACTGATGGTTATATACATGTATATACATGTATATACATATGTGTATATATATATATATGTATATACAAGGTTTTTTGTTATTAAGGGGAAAAAAAAAATCCAAACCTACATGGCCCTGTGTGAAAAAGTGATTGCCCC